AATTGGAGATTAGACTTTGAAGAAATTATTTTGCAATATTTTGGACAATAATTTATAAATGAATATTAGAGAGATTGTAGAGTAGAGAATAATATAAAGTAGAGAGAGCAGAGATAATATTGTGAGAGGGAATTGTAAATGGAAATGGGTATTTATAATAAATCTAAAAAATCATGTTCCCACAAATACCCTTAAAATTAGTTGTTATGTAGCCGTTTATAGATGTTAAAAAGAGTAATTTAGGGATTTCACAAAACTATTTGAAAAAAAAAAATGACAGTTACAACAGTTTAGACCGCCGGTTCGAACCGGTTCGAACTGGCGGTTCTAACCGGATTGGAGAACCGGCGGTTCCAGTCCGGTTTCGACGCGGTTCTCCTGGAATCGCCGGTTCTGGTTCCTCCATTTGCTGGAACCAAGAAACTTGAACCAGATTTTTTCGTAACCGGATGGAGAACCGGCGGTTCCAGTCCGGTTTCGACCGGTTCTCTGGAATCGCCGGTTCTGGTTCCTCATTTGCTGGAACCAGAACTGAACCAGATTTTTTCGGTTCCAGTTCCGGTTCGTCCCGGTTTCGGTTCTCACGGGTTCCGGTTACGGTTCCGAGCTGGTTCGAACCGACGGTTTCGGTTCCCGGAACCGTAATATGGCCATGACTAAGGAGGTATTCTCATACTACCTCGGACATCGGGATGTTCCAACAACTGCTGAACGACTTGAACTGGGATCGGGTAGGTCGCTACCTACCTTTGTTTATTATGTTTCTTTTCTTTGTTTTTCTTTTCTTTCTTCTTTCTCTTTTTTTTCTTTTTCTTTTCTTTTTCTAATTTTTTTTCATCTTTTATTGTGTTTTACAAATAGAGAGATATCCATGGGGAGATGTAGCTGACTATCCCAACTTTGTTTAGGCAACTATCGTTTATCAGCATAGACATCTCCTCCTTCCGGGTTTGTTCTACAATATGTATTACCTCAGAGAAAGGGTATATGAGTGGGGACTTAGCCCAGACCGGAGAAGAGTTCCTCATGACATCCCATATTATATGCTATCCACGAGATCCATCAGGCTGGAGTAAGACATTATCGCTGCTCAAAGAGGGTCAGCTGCCACAGACCACCTAGTGTTAGGTGCTTATGCCGTATTCGTGTGGACACAGCTCTTGGTTCACATTCCTCCCCCGACTAAGTTTGACCTCTTCGCTGAGGTGCAAGAGTTGGACAAAGGCCAGGGCATTGCCCCAGTACAGATGAGTGTCAAACCTCTTTTTCTGTTCTTGGCTTTGGCCCCGCTTATTTTTCCTCTTACCCATAAACTGTGCTTTATTCTTACAGCAGCAGCAGTAGTGCGGTAAGCATGTGAGGAGAGGTTTCGAGCCCAGAGCTCTGGATACAGCTGTTCTTGTCAGTATGCCAGGGCATGGGTCGGGTGCCTCTTTCTCCTTTATTCAGGACCACACAAGTCAGACTGCCCAGGGAATGCTGGAGACACATCTGGTGGGTTCATACCGAATGTCACCACCTGGTTGCACCCATGTGAGTAACCTCTGCTCTTTATTCTGATAACTACCTTTATTATTCAACTTCATTATTGTCTGCCCCTGCCTTTGTCTTATTTTACAGATGTCGATTAACGACTATAATGAGGTGTGCCAGCTGTATGAGGCAGCTTGATTGAAGTTGGCAGTGTGAGGTCCTCGAATGACCACGTGTCTGTAAGTATAAACAACACAAGGACAAATATGCAATGCATATGCCATGTATGCATGAAATGCATTTACTAATGCCTATGAATGTATGTAGAGACCTAGCATGGCACCTCCTGCCGATCGAGGTCAAGGGACGCAATACGACAGGCGTGCTGGTCGAGGAACTGGACTCAGGAAGATAGTCATTGAAGAGTCTGAGGAGGCCAGTAGTGATGACTCAAAGGAGAGAACGTCCAAACATGTCTTGAGTTAGCTGCCCCAGTCTTCTTCTTTTCTCTTTTTCTCTTTTATAGTCTGAACCCAGTTTGGGGAATTTCTTTGTAAAGAATGATTATCCTTAAATATATGAAGGCCAAAAGTCAATCTCTTTACATGATCTTGAGTGACATTAGTGTATTCATGTTTTATAGTTGATAATTACATTGCCTATTGAATCTGAGAACTGAAAAGCAACAAAACAAGGTTCGTTCCAATTGACTGATAGCCAGTGGCGTGCACTGCAGTGGTAGTAAACTGTCAACCTGTCCTTTTATTCTTTTGCTATAAAAGCCCATAACACTTTTTACACGTTAAAAAACTTTCTCTTCCCATTTCATACGAAGTCTTCACTCAAAAACTCACCCAAACACTCCGTTTCTTCTATATTCTCCGTGGGTTGGTCCTTGGCACTTGCTTTTGAAGCATTGTTCCATAGTTTTAGCCATGAGGATTGGAATTTGCTGTCACCATTTGAACTCAATGGGCTAAGCTACTACCGGAACATTCGGGTTCATCCTGGGTTGCTGCAATGGTTGATAAACCACTTTGATTCTTTGAATAACTTGTTTCGCCACAACGACTTCGAGATTTGCCCGCTGTTTGAAGAGTTCAGCATCATCTCTGGGTGAATACCCGTGATGGAAGAAGTTGCTGCAGTGCCTTAGTTTGATATAGACCCTGCTTCACTGATTCTGCTTGTCTTTGGCTTCTTGGCTCACGAGATTCCGTCATATGATTTCAGAGCTAACGCCGTGCCCTTGCGACCACTTATAGATCTTGCAATGAGTATGGACCATTCTAGCCTGTACTGGCCTCCTCTCATCTGCTCTTGTATTCTTGGTTAGTACTTGCTACTTAGTGGCATTGACGGCTATGGTAGACTTAGGCTGGTTCCTATAGTCATGCAGATGGCTAGGCGTCACACGCCATTTCCTCTTATTCTGGCTGAAACATTTACGTGGCTGGGAGAGCATGCTCGGGACCCTAGCTCGGTACTTGGTCTGATGGGAAGTCCGCTTCTTTTGTAATTAAATGCATTTTTTCTTTCTATTTTACTTTCTCATTTTTATTTTTTGTATGCTCTAACTTTTCCTTAAACCGCCCTTTGTGGGTTTTTAGCCTAAAGAGCTTCTTCAATTTTTTATTCTTTTTTTTTTTTTTTTTTTTTTTTTTGTGGGGTTTTTTAGCCCTAAAAAGAAGCTTCTTCATTTTTTATTCTTTTTTTTTTTTTTTTTTTTTTTGGCTTCCTTCTTTTCCTTTTAAATTATTGAACGCATTTTTTTTTTTTTTTTTTTTTTTTTTTGGCTTCTTCTTTTCTTTTATTATTGAACGCATTTGAAGTTGTGGCCTTTTGAGAAGCTACAGGTGATGCCCCCACTATCGGACCAATTAGTGTTTGATTATACACCATGAGTCTATGTCCGATGTCAGCGTCATTTAACTGGTGAGACTATGGAAGATTAGACTGCTATTTTCCAAGACCTCACCTTTGAGGGTGTTAGATGGACTTGCCCCTAGTGGTACATAGAGCGAGTCACAGTTCCATCTTAGATGCTCTGTGTGCCCCTGTGTGGCTTGATCATGGTAGTGGCTTATTATCCTAGCCGAGTACCTAGGTTGTCCCTGATTATATGCGGTTTGAGGGTGGCCTTATTACATAGCAATTTCTGTCTTGCTTTATTTCCACATGGCCTAGCCGCACAATCGTATTCATTTCTGATGTGGCCTATACATCTTCCTCATACTTGTACCGCTCTTAGCTACATGCTTATTCTGGAGTCAGTGCTGATTTGGAGTTGGCTGATTTATTGATAGCTAGATTTCTGTTAGGACCTGGCATGTAGAAGCTCTATCCTGCCTTCTAATGAAATGTACTGGACAATTATTGATAGTGCAATTATATGAATGAATGCACTTATTATGAAATGAACTGTCTTATTGCTTGAAATGCTTGATATATTCCTTGCTATTCTATTTCATCAAAGTGAATTTACAACATTTGCATATCGACCTAAACTTAGCATATCACGCTTTAAAGCTAATACGAGCACAAAAGGTGTATTTATTAATTGGGCTTTGCTATAAACGTTTTAAGCTATACATAAAATTTTTCTGCCTATCCCAGTTGATTGGTTCAGTGAATACATTGCCTTCCATGTCTAATAGCTTCATTGCACCCTTGGAAAACCTTCTTTTAATAAAAAATGGGCCCTCCTAGTTAGGCTTGAACTTCCCCCTTGGATCATGAGTGTTTGGCCGCATCTGTTTCAGAACCAAATCCCCTACTCTTAATAGCTTCAAATGAACTCTCTTGTTAAAGTGCTTGGTTATCCTCCTCTTATATAACTGATCCATAAATCAGGCATTGAGCCTCTTTCCATCTAGGAGTGCTAATTCGTGACAATGATTTTCTACCCATTCACATTTTGGTATCTTGGATTCCATCGTTATGTGCAAGGACTGTACTTCTATCTCGGTTGGTAATACAGCTTCCATTCCGTAGACCAGAGAGTAAAGGGTTGCCCCATTCGCAGATTTGACTGTGGTCTGGTATCCCCACAAAGCATACTGTAGCTCGTTAGCCCAATCATGGTCATTTTCTACCATTTTCCTTAATATCTTCTTAATGTTTTTATTTGCGGCTTCCACTGCCCCCATTAGCTTGTGGTCTGTAAGGTGAAGATTTATGTTGTTCTTTTCCATATTTCTCTAACAATGTCCTTACTTCTTCTTGGAAATAAACTCCATTATCTGTCATTTTATGATGGGGAATTCTATATCTATAGATCAAGTTCTTTTCAATGAATTTAGCCATTTGCTTGGCATTGATGTTTTTAAAAGATTTTCCTTCAACCCATCTTAAGAAATAGTCCACTGCAACCACTATAAATTTGTGTCCGTTAAAAGCAGGTGGTGAAATCTTGCTAATGATATCTATTCCCCAAGCTGCAAATGGCCATGGTGAAATATACGGATGTAATTCTGAAAGTGGGATGTGACTCAGGTCTCCGTGTATTTGACATTCGAAGCACCTTTTCACGAGAGAAATACAATTCCTTTCCATTGTCGACCAAAGAATCCTTGTTTGAGAATTTTCTTAGCAAGCACTTTTTCATTCATGTAGGTGCCGCGAACCCTTGCATGGATCTGTTCCATAATCCCTTCAGCTACCTTCATCGATACGCATCTTAACAGTACTCCGCCTAACATTCTTTTGTACAACTGACCGTCCAAGACTACAAATTGTAATGCCAAACATTGTAAAGTTCTTCTATCATCTCTAGTAGTTGAATCTAGGTATACCCTTTTACTCATCCACTGCATAACACGGGATGCTACCCATGGCCGTTCTTCTTCCTCAATATCCATAATCCTTTCGCCTTCATAACATGGGATGCTACCCGAGGACATCATAATTGGTTTCTTAGGCATAACTGAAATCTCTTCCCAAGTCGACGCTAAATTAGCCAAAGCATTTGGTACTCGGTTGTTTACTCTGCTCGTATGTGTGAAGGTTACCCTTTTGAAGTTCTGAATAACAATGTGTAGGTAGTCAATGTAGGATTTCAGCCTGTCTTCCTTAACTTCCCAACTGCCGTTAGCATGCTTAATTACCAGTTTAGGATCACCAATGACTTCAACCTCTTCAACTTTAACTGCAATCAGAGCTTCTAACCCAAATAGGCAGGCTTCATATTCTATCATGTTATTTGTGACTGCAAACTATAATCTCTTCAACATCGGCATAACTTCTCTTTACGGAGATTCTAGCAAAACGCGTACTCCAGCTCCTTTGCTATGAGCTGAACCGTCAAAGTAGAGCTTCCATCCTTTCTTTTGTATCAAATGCAAATGTTCATTACGAAAGTCAATCTCTCATTCTTAACTATCTTCCACTAGATGTGCTGCTAAGAAGTCTGCAACTGCTCGTCCTTTGACGATTTTCTTTGTGGCTTGTTCAATATCAAATTCTGATAATAGGAATAGTCATCTTGCTATTTCCCCACTACTGCTGGTGTTCCATACAAATATTTTATTGGGTCCATCCTTGATATCGCTATTACAGTATAAGACTGAAAATAGTGTCGAAGCTTTCTAATAGCCCATACCATTGCTAAACATGTCCTTTCAATCAAATTATATTTCTGTTCATTTGGAAGAAGCTTTTCCTCAAGTAATACACTATCTTCTTAACACCGGCTTCATCAGCGTATGCTAACATGGCTCCGATTCCAGCATCTTCCACTCTCAAATATAAAATTAAGGGTTTCCCTAGCTTTGGTGGGCACAAAATCGGGGGACTTGACAAATATTCCATGATTTTGGCGAAAGTTGCTTGGCAGTGATCGCCCCACTTTATTAGCTGATCTTTCTTTAAAAGCTTGAAGATCGTATTGCATACTATAGACAACTTTAATATGAACCTGCTTATTTACTGAATCTTTCCTAGGAAGCTCCTTACTTGCTTTTCCGTCTTGGGTGGCTCCATTTCTTTAAAAGCTTGAAGATTCGTACCACTTTATTAGCTGATCTTTCTTTAAAAGCTTGAAGATCGTATTGCATACTATAGACAACTTTAATATGAACCTGCTTATTTACTGAATCTTTCCTAGGAAGCTCCTTACTTGCTTTTCCGTCTTGGGTGGCTCCATCTTTTGGATAGCCTTAAACTTTTCTCGATTGATCTCAATTCCGTTAGGTCCTACTATGAATCCTAGCACTTTTCCGGAAGTCACCCCGAACACATACTTCTTCGGGTTTAACCGCAGCTTGTATTTAATCACTCTATCCATGAACTTCTCAAGGGCTATTGGATGCTCTTCTGGTGTCTTTGTCATGATAATCGTATCATCAATATACACCTCTAACTCATTGTGGATCATGTCATGAAATAACGTAGTTGCCATCCTTTGATAAGTAGCCCCACATTCTTTAAGCCAAACGACATCACCCGGTTGTAGAAAGTACCAAATTCCATCATCAATGTAGTCTTGACCTTGTCCAATAATGCCATAAGAATCTGGTTATTCCCTGCAAATCCATCTATAATGAAGTAGCATCCCATCATTGTTGCACTATCGATCAGGATATCAATATATGGGAGAGAAAAATCATCCTTCGGTGATGCTTTGTTCAGATCTCTATAATCCACACACATTCTGACCTTTCCATCTTTCTTCGGAACTGGGACTATGTTTGCGAACCATTCTAGATAGTGAACCACTTCTAGAAATCCTACATTTATCTGCTTGGTCGCTTCCTCTTTAATCTTCTCGGCCCATTCTGATCTCAACCTTCTTCTCTTCTGTTTCACTGGCTTGGCTCCAGCATACAGAGGAATTATGTTCTCAGCTATAGACATGTCTTCCTAGCATGTCCTCATAACTACATGCGAAGGCTTCCTTTTTGTCCTTGAGTTGACTTTGAAATTTTGTCTTTAATAGAATTCGTGGATTATCTTTTGTGATAATAATAAATTCAAGCATGCATGATGAGTTAATGTCAAATATGCGCATGTGCTTATCTACTCAATGAATGGAACCATCAAGAAACACATCAAATAAGTAAGCAAAATTAAAGTTCATTTCATTAAATAGCATGGACAATTCATTACAAACAGATTCATCTCTAACAGAAATAGTCACATCAGTAGGGGCTTTAGCTTCCTCAAAGCTTTCCTCGATACAGGCCCTTATTGCTTTCAAAACTTGCTCAGCAGGGTCCTCTTCCTCTTTGCTAGTGCTTGCTTTCTCTTTATTTTCTTCCTCTTTCTTGACCTAGGCAACTTGTCTCTCTTCTTGTTCTTCTTTCTTTTTCTCTTCCTCGTCGGCCGCTCATGGCCCTTCAACCTCCTCTTGCTCGGGTTCCTCTCTTCCTTTTTTTGCTCTTCCACTACAATAAAAACGCTATTTTGCGACCGACAAATCGATCGCAAAATGGCTAATATCGGTCGCAAAATTTATTTTGCGACCGATCGCAAAATGGCTAATATCGGTCGCAAAATTTATTTTGCGACCGATCTGCGACCGACATAAGTCGGTCGCAAAATACCTGGTCGCAAATATTTTAGCGATCGATTATTTAATCGGTCGCAATTTTGCGACCGATTATATCGGTCGCAAAATTGATTTATCGGTCGCAAATGTTAGTCGTGGTTTAATTTGAAATTCAGTCACTAAAATGGTCGCAGGAAAAACGGTCGCAAATTTTTTAAAGCGGTCGCAAATCGGTCGCAAACTGTAAATTTAAAATTGTAAATTTCGGTATCAAATTGGTTGCAAATCGGTCGCAAAAATTAAAAAAATAAAAAAAATTAAATATTATTATAAAACCCGCACCTGTGAAAATTGACATATATACATATACAACACACACGCAATTCAAGAATAATGTAAAATTGTAATTTTTATTGTGCTGAACAAATTAAAATATCAAAATACAAATAAAAAACTATGCTGCTGCTCATCTGCAGGATCCAATGTCGGATCGCCGGGAGGAGTACCTGCTGGATGTGATGTAGCGCCAGGAGGGGTGACCAAGGTATCGTCAAGTATCGTCTTGCAGCATCGGATCAGGAGCAGGAAGTTGGCTGCTTGCTGAGACGTTTCAAAACATGTCAGACGTCGAAACATGTCGGTCTGTAGCAGGAGCAAGATCAGAGGGAGAAGTACCAGCACGGTGCTCACCAGACAGCCGCATCACATGCGCTCTAAGCTCTGCAATCTGTCTTTGCGGATCAGCAAGCTGAGCCCATATATCATCATCACAGTGTGAGTCGCTGTGCTCCGGCTGTCGTGCTGCGCTGGCTGTAGAAGCGTGAGCTGCTGACCTAGTGTAAAACTGTGATGCCTGAGACCCGATGCCGTATACCTTACTCTTCTTCTCGCCCCCGACAGCCTCGAGATAAAGTGCTACCTCGTCAATTCTTGACTCAGCTTCGGATTCATCGGTCTGAGAAGTAACAATACGCTCCCGAGCTGTAGTATAGGTATTAAATTCTCCTGAAAACAAAAATTAATTAATCAATGCAATTTGCAAGCTTTATTATATTCAACTTTGTACATTCTTCGCAATGATTAGAGGGAATATTTATTCATTGTTACATAACATTGACGCCTCAGCGAACGTCTTTGCGACAAGAAGGTATTACGATCGTTGGTCCTTCGTGTGAGTGTATCTAAACACCTCCATCTGGTTGTGGGCTCACATCGGTGTGGGCTCACGACCTAATTCTTTAGCCTGTAATGAATTTTTATGCATGATATATTAATATATATATTGTCCTTTCATTAAACATCAGTTTCTTGCAAAGGGACTAGTTCACTTACTAATAATCGAGCTGTCTCTATAGCAGATATAGATCCGCCTGTGTGTCGCGAAGGTCCTGCTCCATCCCCGCCAGTCTCACTGCGCCTGTTTTGTGCAAACATCTCCCGCTTTCTCTTGAATGCAGGATCCTCCCAAGCCTTTTGCCAGCTCTCCCATATCTCCTGAGACACGCACCGTTGTTTCTTACCGCTTCTTCTCATCCTATAGGTGAAGTCAGCGTATCGATCGGCGCATATCTTCTCCCAGGCTACTTTCAGCATAGCCGTAATGAATGGCCTCGTCCCATATTAACATGTTTCTGCAAAAAAATGACAATATAGCGTTTAAACACTAAGGATTGTATCTTGGAATTGTAACATTGAATGATGATATACTTAAACCAAAGAGTACCTGAACTCCTCCCATAAAGTTGTCTCGCCTCTTGTGCGTACGGCATCCCATGCTGTATCCTTACTTTATGCAGCTGGTAGCTTGATTATTCTTTCAAAATTTTGCCTCGCTGCCTCGAGAAGATGGATATATGGCTGAAAAAAAAAAAAAACAGAAGTGAAATATAATTACACGGAAAGCATCACAGTATGAATAAGTCAAATATACAATAATGCCGCAGAAAATGAATAAGTTACTTACATGTCCCGCTACAAAACTGAGGGCTTGATACGTGGAATCTGATGAAGCCCTGCAAAAAGAAATGACAAGATGTTATAATTTAGATAAATTAAATACTATTAATTAAAATGACGTTATTGACATTTATGATTTACCTAGCCACAGTAGGTGACTGTGCACGCTGGTGCGAGTCTGTACTGGTCCAGAGAGGAAGGAGCCAGAAGATGAAGGAAGCATAAGGCTTGATGGCGCAGTTATGGACGCTGAGCGAGAGGATAGAAGCCCAGATGTACCTGAATTAAGGATGTGATGGCGGCAGTATACTGGTCGCTGAGCAGATTGACGAAGCCCCAGACGTACCTGATGAAGGACGGAGGATCGACCCTCTCGTTCCGGCACTGCGTCCAGGCCATGACCTCCACGCCGCAACCACTGCCGGACAGTCAGAATCTAACTGTCTGCCTCTAGCCATCTAGTACTTGCGATATTCAGAACCTAGATAAAATGAATTTATTACAATTTATAATGAATCTGTAGAACATGTTGGTAATATGGAGTAAACAAAGTGAATACCATTGAAATTCTTCGATTTGATTAATCATTAATTACATATAAGTTTATCAATTTCTGTAACAAAGTAAATGCTCTAAGTTTTAAGTGTCTTGCAATATCCATCTGCTTCCCTCCTCCTCTTCATCGCTTCTCTTCTTTCATACTTCGTCATTCTAGGTAACCCATGATGATTTGATCTTTCTTTCCTCTTCATT